TTGGCAGATCAGTGAATTTTACAGTACCACTGTCTGTTTGGTCATCGTCAACTTTTTCTTCTACTTCTTCGGTAGTGACAGGCGCTTGTGATGATGTTGGTTGCGGAGAAACCGACCGAGGCTCATGCCCCTGAAAAGACTATTTAGCAACTTCAGAGAAGCAATGAGATAGACTGAACTCACTTTATGAAAAATCACTTTTTTCAATAGATGCATATATTCCGCCAGTGGAAATACCGGATGACGATTATCAAGAAAAATTCTGAAAATTTGGTACTGTCAAGTATTTTTAGATTGACGATCCGCATGAGAAATGGTCTTTCGTCTCATAAGGGCACTACTCAATAACGAGAGGGTAATACAAGAGGTGAGGATTGTGCTAGACAACTATAGCGGGGAAAAATTTTCCACTATTCTGTTGCATTATTTCTGATTTATTTTTTCCAGAAGTTCCAAAATGTAGATGATTACAGCTTGTCAAGCTAAGTTTTTCATTTGAGAAATCATATCATTCCAGTTATCAGAATCAGCACCGATTCGAGCACTTGCACGTGCAATAGTGAGAGGTACAAAAACAGTGGAAGGCAAAGTACAAAAGCTTGACATAGGAGCAAGAGCGGAAGCGCTGAAGAAGATATATGAGGAGGAGTACAAAAAGGCACTGAAGAAGTAGATTCAATAGTTCTGTGTGATATGTACATATACCTCTAGATGGATGACTATTGGTGGTGCTAGATTATAGAGGAAATGTAGTAGATTTTAAAAAGTAGTGATTGTAAATAACCTTTCCGGGCAGCATATAGAACAAGCATGCAATGATAAAATTTTATTAGCATTTTGAATGTAGAATCAATCTTTCCAACGATGAGCACATTCAGCATTTGCACATCGATAAAATATAGTCATAGGTTCATCAGCGGACCTTGTTTGGATTTGCATGAAGTAAGCTCGCTCGTGTGAACACTTTGGACATCGCTCATTCGTAACCTGAAGTGACCACTTGAAGTAGGATAATAAATGTTAATTAAACAAGTATTGTCTACCATACGTATGTATATGATGCTTTTCGAACGTCCTAAACCGATAGTCAATAAAACTTTTTGAGGCCCCCACCTCTGTTTTGCGCAGTTCACCGGTGAACTACGCAAATAATGGAGGCCTTGGCAGTACTCGACTGACACGTGGAAAGGTCTAGCTGACCATTTACCTGCTACGATTAGTCAAGCCAAAATCAAATAATAGCCTATGGCCTAGGGCAGAGTTCTCACGATTTCATCCTGCGATTTTTCCAACAAAACAAACAGTTACCAGTCCATTGCATTCCGACCATAATATTTCGATAGTGGTAGTTCTCCAACATGACCAATCGTCACTAACTATCGCAATCGAAATGCAAGATGGTCGGAATGCAATGGACTCGTGACTGTTTGTCTTGTAAGAAGAATCGCGGCGATGAGACCGCGGGAACTCTGCCCGAGCCATATGAATGCAAGGAATTCCTCGTTCTATGAAGTACACGAAAAACATATTCCTGACAAAAAAACTTCAAAAAAGACGGAGGAGGCTTGTAATGTCAACACTTTTCATATCAAAGTTGAGCAAAGTTGGAAAAACCGCAAAAAATTCATGGAGAGTTGAGACCACACTACGCAAATGTTGTAAACATCAAAATTGCAGATAAAAGCTTGAAATTTCACACCTGTGCATTATCCCATACTGACGGTCCACCAAGCACTTCCTCGAGATCTTTGAGCTTTGGATATACACGGCTACTCACCTTAATTACCAAAATTCA